TGCCGAGCAGGGAGCCCGATGCGGGACTCGATCCCAGGACTCCAGGATCATGACCTGAGCCGAAGGCAGTCGCCCAACCAACTGAGCCACCCAGGCGCCCTAAAGCTTACAGTTTTTTGTTGTCTTGTTTCACTCAGCATTCATTGTTTGGTTCCTATGTGGTCTTCTGGACCTCAGCTGAAGGCTAAAGAATATTCTCCATAGTGTACTTCACTGTTTTCCAGTTGCTGATGATTTATGTCATTCCAGTATTTTAACACTGTAAATAATCTCTCTAAAGATGTCTTTGCCTAAAGCTTTTTCCCTCTTTTGGGTTTTTACTCCTTGGAATAGATTCCTCAGAATGAAAAAGTTCTCAGTTTAAAGGATGTCAGGATGTCTTTTTTGAGGATTCTTAATACAAATGAAAAATTGCTTTTCAAAGGGCTCCAAATTGATGTAACCACCAATATTAGGATGCTAGGTTCTTCATATTCTCAGGAGCAGTGGGTATTTTAATTTTGCTAATGTGGGTGAAGAATGGTCAATTTGGATTAAGCTTCTCTGAGTACCACTGATAATGGTTCCTGCCCCTCCTTTTCTACTCCTTGCTCAACAGCCAAGCCGCCTCACTGCTCCTCATCCTGCCCTTTCTCCCAGCTCCCACCCCATGTCCCCAGCCCCAGGGCACTCCAGCTTCTGAAGGCCAACCCAGGGCTCTTGCTCTTCTGGCTCCAGTTACGGGACTTTGTGGGCCCAAGTCTTTTCTTACCCTGGAAAAATAAGCTATATTACATGATGCCCCCAGTGCTTCCTAAAGTCCAGAGGCAAAGCAGTACAGTGGGAGAGCATGAGCTTTGCACACAGGCACAGGCTGAGTCCTAGATACTCCTTGGCAAAGCAGTTAAGCACTCTGACCCTTAAGTTACTTCCACTGCAGGATGAGGATAGCAACATCTGTTTTGCAGGACTTGGGAGACACTTAGAAATGATATGCTAAATAGCGTACCAGACCCAAACAGTTAAGTAGCTCTTAGAGTCGGGCCCACAAAGCATATTTACTTCTCTAACTTTAAGGCCCCACACTAAGGCAGCTCCACCAATGGGGGCAGACTCCGTCTAAGAACCTTAGATGATGAAATTGACCTTGTCAGCCTCCTTCGGATGCTCCAGGAGAGCCATCAGCCCACTAGTCTTTTCGGATACCTGCTTATTGAGCACCTGCTGTATACACTGTTGTTACGCTGCCCGCTGGGACCCAAAAATAGAAGTAACAGTCCCTGCCCTTAGGGAATGCACAATCTGGTCCCAGAAACAGGTGGGCAAACAGACCGTCAAAGTAAAGTGTGATCTACAGTAGGATAGGGGGGTATACACACCCACTCTGTGACCCTCCTTCCGAGTCCAGGAGGGTCACACAGTGGGTGCGGGCATGGGAGACATAAGGTTCCTACCTTTCCAGAATAATGCCATTGAGCTGGGCCCTGAGGGACAGTGACCGTGTTGGCCCTGTTCTTGTGAGAGGCACCGATATGGTGTGACTGCCTTGGCTTTTATGGGATGAGGCAGATGAAGGGTAGTCCGCGCAGCAGTGGTCATCAGAAGCAATGCGTCCCCTGCTGCAGCCTGCTCCTGCCCTCCCTCACCTGTGGGCTTCTCTCTCTCCCGCATCAGCAGGGACCCTGGGTGCAAGGGGCACAGGTTTCCGCACAGCGGCCTGGCCTGCCAGCTCCCCCAGCCCTGCGAGGCAGATGAGGGCCTGGGTGAGGAAGAGGACAGCAGCTCAGAGCGCAGCTCCTGCACCTCCTCCTCCACTCACCAGAGAGATGGAAAGTTCTGTGACTGCTGCTACTGTGAGTTCTTCGGCCACAATGCGGTGAGTGAGCCCACCCAGGCCAGAGAGGGCTGGGGGCCAGTCAGGGTGAGCCAAAGGAGCACCTGCTCTCCCCAGAGACCCCCCCCCCGCGCATGGGTGTAGTAACCACACCGGGACCCTCTGAGTCCTCACAGCCTGTGTCCGCTCGCTTGATCCTTACAGCACACTTGTGAGGTAGGGATTTTTAAACACCTTGCTACCTTTGCTCTTTTCATGGTTTCTCCTTAAGATTGACTTTTTTTCCTTAGGCAGAAGGAAAGGAAATGGCAGAGAGAAAGCTATGATTCTGATGAGCATGCATACGTGTGTAATCACAGAGAAGCGAACACTTGTGCGTGATGAAGGCAGAGTGGAAGCAGAGGCTCTCGGTCCCCCAGGCATGAGCCAGCGAGGGACGGGCCATGAGCACAGACGGCACCAGGCAGGAGGCTCAGGGCAGAGTACGTGCTGTCTCTGGACAGAGGGCGAAAGCAGCTCAGAAGTCTCATAAAGTGAAGAGGAAAGGGCCGCCGGCTAGGGTAGAGCAGTTGAGGACAGAAGAAATGAACGTAATTACATTGTTAGTCACCTTTAAGCTAAGGGTTATTATTCTCATTTTAGAGATGACAAAATCGAGGCACACAGAGACTCAGTGACCTGCCCAAGGTCATACAGCTTCCAAGTGACAAAGCCCGGGCTCAAACCTGCTTTCCTCGCTCCCGAGTCAGTGTGCTCACAATGCTGTTACGTATCTCCCACTCCCTCCGCCCACAGCTGCCTCAGCTCTGGGCCTGGCCGAGGCTGAAGCCACTTGGCCTTTGTGGCTATGGTAGGAAGAACGGTTGTCTGGCTTCTCACCACACGTTCGGTGCCAGCGGGTGGGAGTGCTCCGGGCTTCCCAGGCCCAGGGTGTAACGTCAGCACCTCCCCTCCCCCAGCCACCCGCTGCCCCGACGAGTCGGAATTACACAGAGATCCGCGAGAAGCTCCGCTCGAGGCTGACCAGGCGGAAAGAGGAGCTGCCCGTGAAGGGGGGCGCCCTGGGCGGGATCCCTGGGGAGCCCGCCGTGGACCACCGAGATGTGGATGAGCTGCTGGAATTCATCAACAGCACGGAGCCCAAAGTCCCCAACAGCGCCAGGGCCGCCAAGCGGGCCCGGCACAAGCTGAAAAAGAAGGTGGGTGTGGGGGGGGAGCCTAGCTCTACTGCCTCTCCTCCCTGAGGAATCTCTCGCCCCAACCCCCCAAGACTTGTGGGGCATGAACAGTGCTGGCTGCCAGAAGCCTTGGCACAGCTCACTGCTATGGGAAGGTCTGAATGCGTTTGGGAGGCATCAGGGTCAGGGAGCCTAGGGCCAGTGATTGGAGGAAAGACGAGTCCTGGCCTCAGAAGCTGCTTGCTGGATTCCTCAAAGCACAGGACTTGCTTCAGTCAGTCAGTCATTTATTCATTCAGCAAACACTTCTGCAAATACTGAGAGCCAAAGCATGATGCAGTTAAGTTCTTACCCTGGAGAAGCTCAGTCCAGTGGAGAGACTGACACAAAACCGGACGAGCTCATTAGCATGTGACAAGCCCTGGGATGAGGAAAGCCCCCATCCTGCCTGGGCACGCTGGAAATGGCTCACCAAGAGGCTGACTTGAGAGCTGAGTTGCAGGGAGTGAGTTCAGTTTCATCAGGAGAGTCATTCTGGCAACAGGCATAGCACATTCACAGCGGTTTGGCGTAGCCAAAGCTCAAACAGAGGAGAGGCAGGACAGCTAGTAGAGGTGCGAAAGGGCCTCAGAGGTCCCGCTGAAGAGTTTTGACTTGATCCTATAGCTGAGGGGGAGTCACTGCAGGGCTTTTATCAAATCTGCATGCCACTATGACGGTGTGGCAATATGGAAGGTAGCCTGGAGGGGTGACACTCCCGGAAGGGATACTGAGGCCCAGGGAAAGCTGATTGATGGTGGGTCTGGAGCAAGGGAAGCAGACATGACTGGCTTTGGTGATCTGATTGTGGAACAGAGATGAAGAAGTCAGGGATATCTTCCAGGTGTTTGCTTGGGTGACTGGCAGGATGGTGTGCCCTTCACCGAGCAAGGATGGGATTGGCAGAAGACAACAGGATTCAGTTGGGGAACATTGACTCAGAGATTCTCAGGAGACCTCCAGGTGGAGATAGAGGTGTGGGGCTGGGAGTTGCCAGCTTGGAGATGTAATTGAAGCCATGGGAATGACCCAGCCCATGGGCTGAGTGAGCTCAGAGGGCTGAGGAGAGAACCCAGTGAGCTATTCCTGGGCAGCCCTGCTCCCAGGCAAGCCCCAGGGCTTGGCAGCTCGTCCCCTGCCACCTCATTACCTCTTCACCTGCCTGCCCCCAGCTGCGTCTGCACAGCGCCACACTCGGGAGCCCAGCAGCGGAAGAGTTGGGTTTGACAACCAGCTAGCTCCAGGTCCTGGGTGGTCAAACAGCCCTGGTGCTCTGGAAAGCAGCAGCAGTTCTACATCTTTTTCCAGCCCAAAGGACAAACCAGGACCCTTTCCCTGCAGCCTGAAGTAGTGAGCCAAGGGGTCCCACTGCTGCCTTCAGAAAGTGGTCAGCACTTTCTTTCTCCCATCCAGTGTTGCCTGACCAGAAGTGTCCAGTGGGCAACAGCGGTCTCTTTGGCCTTCCCTGGCTTCTTAAGGCAGTGGTTCCCAGTTAGGTCCCAGCGAGCAGGCACACTTTGAAGTTCCCAAGCCTGGTGTGCTTTCCATAAATCTGTGCCCACACATCCCTACCCCTTTGCTGGTAATGCCAGTAACAACTCTTCTCTCCCCTCCTTTTCCTCCTGGCAACTTGCTTCAGACTTCCTCAGGTAACTCCTTCCATGTTACTGCCACTGTACCTCGCACATCTCTCTCAGCTGCCATTTCGCACACTCCATGCACTCATTCAGAAACTTGCTGCACAGCTTCTGTCTGCCCAGTCCAGTCTAGAGGCCAGAGTACAACACAGCACCAGACAGTTGCAAGGTCATGTGATAGGCAGTCATTGTCATTATCTGTTTATGCATCAGCCTCCTCTCCAGTGTCCTTCCTCTACCTCTCAGACTTAACCACAGTCTGGCTGTCCACCAAAAACACAGCTTCCCCTGGGAGCCATCCAGTGGAGACTGCCCATTCTCTCCCACCTCAGGAGACCAATAAAGCTGAGTATCTTTCTGCTCCCTTACACCATTTCCAGACCGTGACTGTCTGTCCCTCATGTACTAAACCCTACTTTGAAACTGACACTGGCTCTGTCACCTACAGTCTCCTGGCCACTCCTCTTCATCCAGTGAAGGTTGTCACCTGCCCCTTTCTCCTCTTCCCAGGCCATAGAGATCCCTTGACCATCATTCACTCACTGTCTTACCAATACTCTCAATTCCTTGCCCTGTTGCCCTTCCATTTACACCCACTCAGAAAAATCGCAGCCCTGGGTTTGACCCGTCCCTGCCTCTCCCCTTCCACACCTCTAGGAAAGCACTGGATCACATCTATCTGTGGCACCCAGGCCGTGTGATCTCCCTCTTGCCTGAGCCCTCACATTGCCTAGCAGGCCTCTAGTCCACTCGCTCTTCATCACTTCTGTTCACCACAGACCCTTTGTCAGACCTCCAGATTCTTCTCAAATCCCCAGGCTCTTCCCACCCCACTTTTCTTAGTTGTTAGATGAGCTCACTTCTTATTTCAACAAGGGAAAAAAAGCCAGTGAACAGGCACTCCCTCAAACATCTTACCATTCCACCTGCAGACTTTCTTCTTGTCATGAGGGAAGAGTTACCCCTTCTGCTTAAGGCTATGCAGTTCTTTCCCGCTGCCTCAGTCTTAAGCTCGGCTTCCTGCTCTGGCTCTGGCCTTTCCTGGGCTGGCTCCCATCAGCCTTTCACTGTGCCCACTATACTCTCTTTTGAAAGCAAACTGCCTTGAGTGTACAGCCTCTCTCTCTCCTTCACCTCATCTCTTTCCTCCCATCACAGCCAGATTTCTTGAAAACTGTTGTCTGCATTCACTGTCTTTCCTGTCAGCTCATTGCAAACTGTTTTCCTCTCCCTCCCCTCCACAGAACCACCAGTGACATCTTTGTTGCTAGATCATACCCTCCTGTCTCATCTCTGTCCACTAGGCAATATCTCACATGTTGTATTGGTTTTCCTTTTCAAACATGTTCTCTTTGGCTCCCCTGTCCTCAGCCAGGTGGGGGAGGGGAAGAACAATGGGAATGCCGTGTTCTCTAGATTTCTCACCTTCTCTGACTTCTATCTCCTTCGTGGACTCCTCTTCCTTTCCTCTGACCCTCCCGGAACCTCAAGGCCACCCCCCTGACAAAGAGAAGCTGTCTAGATAGTGTTCCTGGTTCACTAGGTCTACCGGTTTCCTCCCTGCACTTCACCTTGACAACTCCTGCTGCTACGGGGCACCTCACAAATGCCCCACTGGTACTCAGACTGAGCACATCCAAAACTGAGCTTGTTCTCTTTCTCCAAGGAGGCCTGCTCTTCCTTCTCCATTGTCTGTCTAGTTAATGGCACCACCATCCACCCAGTTGCCTGAACCAGAACCCAGGGTGCCATCCTGGGAGGAATGCGTCGTGGTGATCGGGAGCAGCGAGCCTTGGAATCGGACCTCACTTTGAAACCTGGCTCTGCCACACTTGCTGGATGACCTTGGGCAAATCACTTCAGCTCTAAGCCTCAGTTTCTTCATCCACAACATGAGAATAACAGTAGAACCTAACTCAGATGGTTGCGGGAATGAAACAAAGTGATGCACAGAAAGGCTCAACAGAGTGCGCTTGGTCAGGGAAGCGGTGGCCGCACTAGGGGTCGTCAGTATTGTTCTTGTGGCTCATCCCATCTCCCCACCTGTCCCCGAGTCCTGGCCATGAGACCTCCCAAACAGCTCAAACTACCCGCTTCTCTCCACCCTACTACTGCTACTGAAAAAGCCGTCAGTGGCCAAACATTGCCCTCAGCGTCAAGCCCAGACTTGAACCTGGCCTGCAGGGCTCTTCAGCCTCTGCTTAGCTTGCCCGCTTCATCTCTCTGTCTCTCCTCCCTGGCCTTCCCGCCTACCACTCCCCACCACTCCTAAAAGAAACCTGGGCCCCAGCTCTCCCTGTGAATGTTTGCATCCTGTAAAGATTGTATGTGCGCATTCCCCAGTCACTTGCTCTTCCTTCTGCCTAAAAAGTGCTAGTCTCACTCTCCGGGATGATCCCAGTCACCCTCCAGTGCCCAGTGAGCTACTGCCGCCTCTGGGAAGCACCTCTGATGGCCCAGTCTGAGTTCCCAGAGCATCTTGTGCTTTCTTCCCTGTAGTTCTTGTCACTGTCACTCAGAATTAAACAGCTTATTTGCATGTCCGTCTCCCCCAGCAGACTCAAGTCCGCAAGCAGACTTCTCACGCACAGCTGAATCCCCCAGAGCCCAGCCCAGTGCCTTATAGAAACTGGTCAAGAAGTGATCATCGAACAGGACTGAAAGAACTAGGAACTGCAGATCACACCTGGGTGTGCTGTCCCAACTCTGCCACTTTCTAGCCGTGTAACCTTGGGCCAGTTCCCTATTTGTGCCAAAGTCAGGTGTCCTCATCTGCAAATTGAGGATAATGGCGCAACAAGGGCAATTGTGAGGATTAAAAGAGACAACGTGTGGAAAGGATCAGGCTCGTGGCACATAACAGAAAGCCTGTGTTCTGTGCTCTCCTCTCACTACCAAATCACACGTGGTTCCATGTTACTCCCTCTAACTCATTGTTTTCAGACTTCTTTGTTTAGCAGCAGAACTCTTTTTTTGCAATTGAAGTCCTGCATGGAATCTCCATTCCTAACAGAAAAAAGCTGTGCTGGTACAGGGGAGGAGTGATGTGAAGGGCCTTCCAGTCCTTCTTTCATCCCCATGGCCTTGACCTCCATGGCACAAGGCTGGAAACCCTGCTCCAGATCGAGCTGCTTCCCCACTTGAGCACCACAGTGCCAAGTCAGAGCCTCGTCAGCACCTGGGGAAAGGGACACGTGCCCTCTCAGGTGTCCAGGCAACACCGGGAGGTATACGTAGGCAGTTTTTCTCCCAAATACACAAGGGGGACGGTAAGGTTCAGAGAGAGTAAGTGATTTGTCCAAGGTCCCACAGTGGTGGTCCTAGTCCATCGCAGAGCCCTACTGGGGCACAGGGTCACCCTCTTTAAGTTGACTCTAAGGTGGTGGCATGCCCTCTTTTTTCTCTCCCCAGTTTCCTTTTCCTGTTTCTCCCCCTCCATTCCCAAATCAGCTAGAAATATGTGAAATGGTGGAAGTCATCCAACCCCTGGCCCAGCACCACCATCTCCTTCCCGTGGGCTTTTGACATCTGTCTCTCGTCTCCCTCTAAAGGCCTCCTTGGTCTGCAGGTGTGTGGAGGTTGGGCAGAGGGATGGAGTGACTCGGAGCCCACAGACTTCACTTTCATTCTCCAGAACCGGGTGTGTTAACACTGACTGACAGAGTCTAGCCCCCCAGTTCTCACCTGGGCAGAGGGGCTGCTTTTACATCTTGCTGTGGGGCCCCACATAGCTATCCATTGGGCACGCTTTAGGCATGGCCTTGATTACTTGAGGCAGCTGAGTGGTGAGTGGCTTTTATACGGAATTTCTCCCTGTTCCATAGCACCCGTACACAATTCCTGCCACCCAGAGTAGTCTGACCTACCGCGGTGGTCTCACAGCCCCGTCTCACTTCTTGAAAGGCCTCCCATGATGTCACAGCTTTTTTCCCCTACTACCAGCAGAATTGGAGAGAATGCCCCTGTAGCAGCCGTCTCCCTCGCTTTGCATCCCCACTTTGGTCTTCACCCCAGAATTTTTGTCTGCCTTTTGCAGATGAGTCCACTGAGACTCAGCCAGTGAATGAATTGCTTAAGTTCAGGCCTGGAAGGCAAGGTGCAATTAGCTGCATTCCTATCCCTTTGAGTCCCAGTGGGTCTTAGGCCCTAGGACTCACACTGGGGCTCTGAGTGAACAAGCTATAAAAACCTATTCTCTGTGGGTCTGTCTCCATCCCCAGAACATGCATCTGATTGCATTTCATCCTCACTCCTGCAGGGTGGGTGAGCAGGCCTGGATGGCCAAGGTCCTGCCTCTAGCCAGTTAGCTGCAAAGCTGGGCCCCAGGCTGATGTGTCAGGTGTCACGTTGTACCTGGCAGGTGCCAGGCCCTAGCTGAAACTGATGCTTATATTGACAGGAAAAGGAGAAGGCCCACTTGGCAGCAGAAGCTCTAAAGCAGGTGAATCGTAGTGTTTCTGGAAGCCGGGAGCCTAGGCCTGCCAGGGAGAGGCTCTTGGAGTGGCCTGACCGGGAGCTGGATCGGGTCAACAGCTTCCTGAGCAGCCGTCTGCAAGAAATCAAGAACACTGTCAAGGACTCTATCCGTGCCAGCTTCAGTGTGTGTGAGCTCAACATGGACAGCAATGGATTCTCTAAGGAGGGGGCTGCTGAGCCAGAGTCCCAGAGCCTATCCCCCTCAAACCTCAATGGCTCCTCAGAGCAACGGCCTGACATTAACCTTGACCTGTCCCCTTTGACTTTGGGGTCCTCTCAGAACCACATGCTACGAGTTCCAGGTGAGCCAGCCCCACCGTGGACAGAAATGAGAGGCTCTCACCCACCATGGACAGAGGTGAGGGGGCCCCCTCCCGGTATCATCCCTGAGAATGGGCTAGTGAGGAGACTCAACGCCGTGCCCAACCTTTCCCGGGTGATCTGGGTCAAGACACCCAAGCCAGGCAACCCTAGCCCTGAGGAGCCAAGCCCAAAGGAGGTTCCCAGTTGCAAGCAGGAGCTGCCCGAGCCTATGGCCTCAAGTGGGAAGCCGCGGAAGGGCAAGAGACAGGGCAGTCAGGCCAAGAAGAACGAGGTGAGCCCAGCCCCCCGGTCCCCAGCCAGCCTCGAGGCTCCCAGTGCCAAGGGCCAGACCCCCAGCTCCAAGCAGCCAGGCAAGGCCCCGGAGCCTCCCAAAGTGGGCAGCTGTGCCGAGGCTGGAGAGGGGAGCCGGGGGAGCCAGCCAGGACCAGGCTGGGCTGGCAGCCCCAAAGCCGACGAGAAGGGCAGCTCCTGGCGAAACTGGCCAGGTGAGGCCAAAGCACGGCCTCTGGAGCAGGAGTCCATGCAGCCCCCAGGCCCAGCGAGGCCACAGAGCTTGCCGCAGGGTAAGGGCCGCAGCCGCCGGAGCCGCAACAAGCAGGAGAAGACGGCCGCCTCCCTGGGTGAGTGCACCAGGAACTGAGTGGTTAGCCCCCCACCCCGCCAGGCCACAGGGTGGAGGGTAGTCCTCGGTGTGGGCAGTGCTGCCCCAAGAGCATGACCCCAGAGGCCTGGCCGTGGGCACTGAGCCCTCCTGGCTGTGTCTTCCTAGACGATGTGTTCCTGCCCAAGGACATGGATGGGGTGGAGATGGATGAGACTGACCGGGAGGTGGAGTACTTCAAGAGGTAGGTGTGGGGATGCCTTCTTGCCCACCCTCACTCAGGCTCACCCTCAGCCTGACACCCTCAGAAGGAGAGCCTCTCCAGGCTCTCTCCCACCAGTCTATCTGCTGGAACCCAGGTAGCCGCTCGGCAGGACAGGCCATCTGGGAAGGTAAGGGACAGGGAGAAGGAGGCACGTCAGGCCCCAAGAACCAGGGCTTTCTCCAGCTTTATTCCCTTTGTATGTTCACTTGCACTTCCTCTGCTCTGCCTGGGCTGAGCTCTGGGCTGGAGGCAAATGAGATATAGTCTAGATGGAGAGAGAGAGCCATAAACACACAGTCCAGTGATAAGTGCTGTTGGAGGAGTAAGGGCATGGGGCTGCAGACCCAGCTGAGACGTAGGGGTGGGCAGCGCTCCCAGAAGAGGTGGGAACCAAGCTGAGACCTGAAAAGTAAGAACCAATAGGCCAGGTCAAACAGGGCCTTTGTGACAGCAGAGCTGGTAGGCACAGAGGTTTCAGGCTGAAAATAACACACAGTACTTAGGGTTGCAGAAGGCCGCCCAGTGTAGCCAGAGTAAAATACAGCGTGAGGAGCCACCCTGTATCCCGAGGCAGTGTCACTCTCTTGATACGCTGTTCCCTGGGCTCATGGGCACCCTGTCCAGAAAGCCAGCAAAGCTCTCATAACCTGCTAGACCCCAATACCCTGGAGCCACAGGGGTTGTACAGAGCTGACTTGGTTCCTTTAGTGACCAAGACACATGGGTCTAGAAGTGGGGTCCAGCAGGGAGAGGGGTACCTCTGATTATGCTTTTCTGCTCTCTCTCAAACCTAATAGGTTCTGTTTGGATTCTGCAAAGCAAACTCGCCAGAAAGTTGCTGTGAACTGGACCAACTTCAGCCTCAAGAAAACCACTCCCAGCACAGCTCAGTGAGGTATGGAGACCCCCAAGCGTTGCATGTACTCCCTTTCCCCAAGTTCTGTCACCTTCTGTGTCCCCACCAGACCATTTCATGCTCTGGGGCACGGAGTTGGGCTAGTGGCTTGCCAGCCCTGGGCCCCTGCACCTCCACAGTGACAGCTATGCGCTCTGCAGACACAGGCCCCATCTCTTCTCCTGTGGCCACTCACCTCTAGGCCTCTGTCCTTTCATCGCTCCCTCCTGGGCCAGAGCCTCCTGGGAGCCCTCCTGCCTATGTTCCTGAATCTCCATCCCTGGGCTATCTCCACCAGGCCTCTACTTTCCTTACTGGCTGCCTCTCAAGTGCCTAGGCAGCCTTAATCCCCAGAGGACTGCCCCCACCCCTGACAATATTAGCCTCAGGGTTGAATCTCACTTGCCCAGCCTGGTAGGCTACCCAGGTGCTTCCCAGCTAAAGCCATGTAAGATGTGGGTAGCCCCAAAGGACCAGTGAGAGGGCAGATGAGCTAGACCAAGGCCTCAGTGAGGTCATTTAGGCATGGAGGAGTTGGTAAGTGCTCTCCCCAAACAGGAGAAGCCCCATGAAGAAATTAATAGCTAAGCTGCCTCCTGAAGAAGACACCTGGCCCCCAGCTGGGCTCAGGGCTCCTCTCCCAACCACCTACACAAGTCCTTTTGTGTGAAATACTGACGTATCAGATAATGTTCTGGACTGAGAACATAACCCTGTGCTCTGTCCCTGGGATCAGGCCTTTTCTGGCTGGCAACCACACAACTGCCCTTAAAGCAACAGGAAACTGGGGCAGGTGAGCTGAACTCAGGGAACCCCGGGAGGATGTCCTCACCTGTCCTCCTCCTCCTTCTCTTCTCAGTGCCAGGACAGCTCCTCTCTGGGTCGGGCAGCAGACTTCCTGGACCCTCAGCCGAGTCTCCTTGTCCTCTTTTGGTTTTAGGATTCCCCACCCTTGGGGCTGGGCTCCCTATGGCACCTTGGGCTGCCTGGAGTCAGGACTGTCTTTAGACTCACCTCAGCCCCTCTCTCTGAAGGGGCTAGGCTCCCTCATCTTTTGCCAAACTGAAATGTCCACACCCTCAGGAGCTTCTGCCAGGGCCAGGGTGCCCTCCTGCCCCTTTTGTCCACTTCCACAGGATCCAGGAGTTATGGGGACCCCAGGCACTTTGATTTGTTGCCTCTTCTTAGAGAAAAAGGGGCACACCCCTCCCCCAGCCCAGTGCCCCTCTCAGCCAGGAAACCTCATTCGGCCATCTTCTCTCAGGGACCCCCTCTTTGGTTGAGCTCTTTCCCAAAGCAGGAGATGTTCCCTCCCTGCCCCAGCCGACTCTTAAGGGCTCTCCATTGACCTTTTCCACCCTCCTCTGAGTGGGACTGGGAGCCCGGAGAGTGTGTGAGAAAGCAGTGCAGGCGCAGATTCGGGACCTAGCCTGGGCTGTGTACCCGGAGCCCGAGTGCGTACGCTGCCTCTCCCCTGCCTGTCAGCAGGACAGCAAAGGCCAGAGGCGGGGCTCTTACACCACCCTGGCTTGGATAGATGTGTGCCAGGGGAGCTGTCCCCTGGCAGGGTCTTAACCTGCATCCTCTGCTAAAGGTAATCAAGGAAGTCTATTCAGTATTTTCAGCCCAGGGAGCAAAAATAGCAGGCAGCTGTTCCTACCCATGGGGATCCATGGAAACCCAGAGCCAGCGCAGGGAGGCTCAGGCAAAGGATCGCTCACGGTATGGCCATGCTCTGTTTTCTCAGCCCCCTGCCGGGTCGAGCTGCTTCAGGGTGTCCTGAGACCCCAACTGCCAGCTGAAGGTCTACAGTTTCTTCCTCCACATCCCTACCCACCTGCCCACGATCCTCCCTGCTCCTCGCCATCCTGGACCAACCAAAAGTTGAACGGATGCTGTGCCGTGCTGGGGCCCCTCAGGACCTCCGCAGAGCCGCTTCCTGGTGCTACCCAGCCTCCTCACTCAGAGCCTGGGGGCTGGACTGGCCTGTGGGCCGGGGGCTGATGGTACTGCTGGCCCAACACTGCTCTCTTTGTGTTTGGTTTTGTTTTTGTTCTTGTTTTTCAATTCTTTACTTTTGATACTGTGAAGATCTTTCCTGCAGAAAGATAAAGCAACATTTGGACACAGAGTCAGTGTGTTGATGGTTTGCTGGTCTGGGGCGGGGGTGAGGTGAGGAATGTACTCAGAAGCATGGGATCTGCCTTGGTCATTAGCCTCACTGAGCAGATATTATGTGTCAACAGTTTGGCAGTTTTCACTTAATTCCACAACTGTTCTAAAGGGCTGTTATCCCATTTTACAGATGAGGAAATTAAAGCTAAGGCAGGAAAGTGACTTTAGTGCACTCAGTCTGGCTGAGCAGAGTTAGAGCCTAGGCCTGTGTAACAGCAGCATCTGTGTACTTTCTCCTAGTGGCAGGACTCTGGTATGTGACCTGGAACAGCCCCTTCCCCATGCCCTGTTTCCCCCTCTGCAAGATGGAGGAGTGAGACTCGGTCTCTGTGCAGCTGCTGTGAGAAGGGGTCTGGGAAAGGCTTGAGGCCTTTACAGACTGCACCTTTAGCCTGGGTTATTGACATTGTCAAGGGAAGTGGAGTAAATGGAGTTTCTATAAATTGGATCTGACTTTCCAGTGGGAATGACACACATAGCCTAAGTACTTCAGAGTTGCAAATAATGAACCCTTCTGTAAAGTAAAGTAAACTACCTCATTCCTATCTCCCACCCCCTGCAGATCTGGTTCATAAATTCAGATTTTAATATTACAGGTTTGCTAAAAAAAAAAAAAATGCCTCACACACATTTGTGCTCCAACTCCTTGTCCCTGTTGTCGTTTTCTCAAACTGACACCTAACTTGAGCTTATGTGGGGAGCAGTGGAGGCTGTGGCCACACAGTCACTAAGAGCCCTTTACAGAGTGTTGGGAAGCAGGATCGGAAACCATTCCCCTGGGCACCTGGGTGGCTCAGATGGTTAAGCATCTGCCTTTGGCTCGGGTCATGATCCCAGGATCCTGGGATCGAGTCCCGCATTGGGCTCCCTGCTCCTTGGGGAGCCTGCTTCTCCCTCTGTCTCTGCCTCTCTCTCTCTGTCTCTCATGAATAAATGAATAAAATCTTTTAAAAAAAAAGAAAAAAGAAACCATTCCCTCCCCTTTCCACCTCCTCCCAGGATGAACCCCACCATGGGCAGTCAGTGCCAGCTTCCTCTTCTAAAGAAGTTAAAAAGCATCGCCACAGGCTCAAGGCTCACAATTCCTGGTCCCTGGCCTTTACTAATCCCCAAGGAAGTCTGCATATGCCCCTGTGAAACCTGTCTCTATACATATTATCTGTGTTCCTCTCTCCCTTCAAGTCTTGCACCAGGCTCCTGCCCTGGAGTCGAACTGGCATAGCTACCTAAAATTCTGCTTCATCATTCAAAAATTGCCTGTCTGATCAAGGAGCTGCTTTACCTACAGAGAAAGACCTGTGGGTGGCATTCAGAGCCTTCCATGCCTGGCCCCTGCCTCCCAGCACTTCACTCCAGCCACACCAGATGACCTCAGTCTCCCCCTAGGCCTGGCACCCTCAGGTCTCCCAACTTTGGCTCACATTTGCTTCTTCCCAGATTACCTTTCCTTCATTGTGTCCTGCTTATCCTTCACATTCCAGCTGAAAGGCCACTTTTACTAGGAGAATCTGTTTGCCCTGCCTTGTGATGCCTCCAAAAGGACAACTATCTGTCTTAGAATATTTCTCCTTAACCTCAAGACCCATTATATTTTTGTCTCCTCAACTAATCCATAAACTCACAAGCCAGGTTTGTATCTTGTTCATCTTTTATCTGCTTCAGCACTGTGCACAATGCCCAGCGTGTGCTGATAATAAATACATGAATGAAGGAAAAAATAGTACTGACGCATCACTCCTCTTTAAAAGTCCCCTGTGCAGGGCACCTGGGTGGCTCAGTCCTCTGACTCTAGATTTCGGCTCAGTTCATGATCTCAGCATAGTGGGATCTAGCCCCATGTCAGACTCCTTGCTCAGCGTGGAGTTTGCTTGAAGATTCTCTCTCCCCCTCTCCCTCTGCCCCTCGCCCCCGCTCGAGCTCTCTCTCAAAATAAATAAAATCTTTAAAAATAAAGTACTCAGTGAAGTTTAAGTTACTTTGACAGTCAGCCCTGCATGCTCTGGGCCACCCAGCCTACGTATCCAGCTTTAGCTTTGGCCACCCCCACTCCACAGGAGCCGGCCACGTGGTTTGTTTGTTCTTTGAGGAATCTACTTGCACATGGCCAGGCCTTCACTCCTACAGCACCCTCAATCAGAAAACTTCTCTTTCCTCCACTCCCTGAGAGTCTACACCTGTGGAAGCTCAGATTCAGGTCTCCTTGAAGTCTTCTCTGGTTCCCCAGTGAGTTACTCTAAGCTCTATTATAGCATTTACAATAATAATCGCTCCATATGTATGTACAGACCCTCGGCGAAAAAACACTTGTCACCAGCATTTTATTTATCCCTCACCACTCTGAACATACGTGTTGTCTCACATAGATGAGGACGCCTGTCAGAGCTGCAGTGTAAGTTGATTCATTTTTCCGCAAGCCACACCCCGTCCCCGCGCCCGTGCCCGGGATGGAGGCCCGAGCGGGATCCCAGCTGGCCCTGTCCCGGAACGTGCCTGATGACGTCATACTCTGGGCGAGGCTGGGCAGCTGGCCAGCCGACCTCTTCCGGATCCCCGGTCTCCACTTTAGGGACCTTCTTCCACCAGACTTCGTTTGAGCCTTTAGCGCATGCTCCAAATCCTCCAGCGTCCCATAATGCATTGTCTGACGCTTTGCCCTCGCCCCTGGCAACAAATGCGCAGCCGCCCAAGGGACTTTGACGCTGCGCTGCCCGACAGGGTCTCAGAAGAAAGTTTGTCCCTCTGCGCGATCCGGCATTCAGAGGTCGTTGCTAGGCGCCCACGTTCCGCTCCTTCACATCTGATTGGATTTCACTCAAAAGTTGAGGCGGGGTTTTACCGTAGCGCGCATGCGTGCAGCAAAGGATGGAGGACTCGGAACCCGAGCGGAAGGTAGGAGCGAGACAGGGGTCCGCGCTTGTGGCGAGCGGCAGTGAAAGCGGGGGGCCTGAGCCTGACTTCTTTGTATTTGTAGCGGGCTCGCACCGACGAGGCGACTGCCACAGGAAGCCGCTCCGAGACGGAGGATGAGGGTGACGAAGACTACGTGCCTTACGTGCCTTTGCGACAGCGCCGGCAACTGCTGGTGAGGGCCCCGGTTCGGAAGAGGAATGAGGGCGTGGGATCGGGGGACGGGGTTGGGGAGAGGTGGCCGCCAGTGGAGCGAGCTGCCAGTACTCGGGACAGTGGCCGTCTGGCGAACGAGGGACGGGCAACCTGATCTGAGTTCGCAGGGTACAGATCCCTTTACCAAAAGCCAAGATCTTGACGCAGGCCCCCTGGGCCCAATGCTCCGCTCTGTTTTGGGCTTGGCTCTGAGGGGCGCTGGTGGAACCTCAGCTCCAGAAGCTACTGCAACGAAGGCGCAAAGGAGCTGCGGAGGAGGAGCAGCAGGACAGCGGCAGCGAGCCCCGGGGAGATGAGGACGATATCCCGCTGGGCCCTCAGTCCAACGTCAGCCTCCTGGATCAGCACCAGCACCTCAAAGAGAAGGCTGAAGGTGGGCTGGAAAGCAGCGGGGAGGCTCAGCTTGGTACAGTGCTTTGGTGTCTGACATCTGCTACTTTCCTCAGCCCGCAAGGAGTCTGCCAAGGAGAAGCAGCTGAAAGAAGAGGAAAAGATCCTGGAGAGTGTGGCTGAGGGCCGAGGTATGGTTGTAGCCAGGGCAGAGGGGGAGGTGGACCGAGCCTCCTCCCCAAACCCCAGCCCCAGGCATGTTATATCTCATGGGCCTGGCCTCTGGGAAGCAAGAGCCAGCCCTGAGCCTCGTCTGTTTCCTCAGCCTTGATGTCAGTGAAGGAAATGGCCAAGGGAATCACATATGATGATCCGATCAAAACCAGGTATGTTTTTCAGTCTGTGGGAAGGCAGTCACTTTTACTTGGAATGGTAGTGGCTGAGACTGGCAGGTGCACCCCACAGCCAGTTGTGCCCGGGGCCTCTCTTGACCCCCACCACGCACTCACAGTTGGACACCCCCCCGTTATGTCCTGAGCATGTCTGAAGAGCGGCATGAACGCGTACGGAAGAAGTACCACATCCTGGTGGAAGGAGATGGCATCCCACCACCCATCAAGAGCTTCAAGGAAATGAAATTTCCTGCAGGTACCTGGGAACTTTGGTAGTCAAACAACTGTGAGGTTGTGTCCCAGCCCCCGCTGAGCTCAGCATCTACAGCGATGGGTCTAGCCAGTGGAGATGGAGGGACTTAGGTTTGAATTTCAGTTGCCCAGCTGTACCTGTTCACTGTCTTCTGCCATTAGGGAGCTTCAGTGGGCAAGTGATATTGGCCTTAAGTGGACCTGGGTGTAAATCCTCCCTCCAGTTATCCTAGAGATCTTAGACAAGTCTTTCTTTTTCTCTTTTTCTCTGGGCCTCATTTGTAACTTGAAGGGAGTGGGAGTAGTGCCAATTTTACAGCTTTGGGAGGCCTGATAAAGTATCTGTGAGACACAAGGATGATACTGAGATTGTTTTCCGTAGCCATCCTGAGAGGCCTAAAGAAGAAAGGCATCCACCACCCAACACCCATTCAGATCCAGGGCATCCCCACCATGTGAGTGTGGACCTGGGGGCCCTGAAGAGGGTGGTGATGGGGAGGAGCAGTCACTAGGTGTCCATCTGGAGACTCATTCCCTACATCCTGCTGAACCTGATCCTCAGGCCTCTCCTCTCCCCACAGTCTGTCTGGCCGTGACATGATAGGTATCGCCTTCACGGGTTCAGGCAAGACACTGGTGTTCACATTGCCTGTCATCATGTTCTGCCTGGAACAAGAAAAAAGATTACCTTTCTCCAAGCGTGAAGGGCCCTATGGACTCATCATCTGCCCCTCGGTAAGGCAGACCAGGCTGGAGACAGAGCGGAGACAGGACTGCCTTCTGGTACCAACCTCTGCCCTGTTCCTACAGCGGGAGCTCGCCCGGCAGACCCATGGCATCCTGGAGTATTACTGCCGCCTGCTGCAGGAGGACAGCTCCCCACTCCTGCGCTGCGCTCTCTGCATCGGGGGCATGTCTGTTAAAGAGCAGATGGAAACCATCCGACAGTGAGCATAAGCACCCCCACCCTGTGGGCCTCCCCAGAGCCCCTCGACAAGCTAAAGGGCCCTTTGCTTTAGCTACCCTTGCAGACCCTTCCAGAAGCTTCCTTGTCCTCAAGGAGTTCCTTGTCTCATGGGGAGATCAGTTGGGGTGGGACAGAGGGATGTGGTAAGGTACTGTGGGAGCACGACAGATGGAATGGGGGCATCTGGGAGGTCAGGGGTCAGGGCATTCTAGGCAGAAGAGACAGAGGTGGGGGACCCAGGATGTCCAGGAAGGTCAGGGTCATTCAGTGTGGTCCAGCATGGAGGCTGAGACACTAGGGCAGGGCCAGATCCATGGCCTTTCCACACAGTGTAGTCTCCAGCAGACAATGCTAACTGCCCTGGACCAGGCTCTGGAGTCACGGACAGGCCACACTCAGGCCCTTCTTTCCAAGGCATTCCCGGTCTCAGGGAAGATTCAGATACAGAAAAGATTAAGTTAGCATTCCAGGGAAGTGAGCCCATCAATGCCTACAAAGGGAGCTGTGGGAGCACATACTGAGGCCTGTGTGGAGATTCAGGATCACCCTCCTTCTAGAGAGGGAAGGGTATGCAGGGTTGATTCATGGCTGGGGAGGAGCTCTAGAGCAGAGCAGTAGTCAAGAAGGTTGCAGCCCCTTCTAGAAGAGACATGTTTTACAAGTAGGGCAGGGTGGTGGACGTGATGAAGGGACAGATGAGGAGAGACAGGAAAGAGGCCAGAGAGCAGAATGAGCAGAATGCCAGCCCTTAGGTGCAGGGATGGGTGGGTAGCCCTGACCTCAGGGTCCTCTTGATCCCCAGCGGTGTGCACATGATGGTGGCCACCCCTGGGCGCCTCATGGATTTGCTGCAGAAGAAGATGGTCAGCCTAGACATCTGCCGCTACCTGGCTCTGGATGAGGCTGACCGCATGATTGACATGGGTTTCGAGGGCGACATCCGCACCATCTTCTCCTACTTCAAGGTGCCCGTCCCTGCCTGGCTAGGGCATTCCTGCCACCCTCCCCACCACACCCCATTCAACTGTGGCAGGCCCTGAGGCCTGGCACTGCCCACCCACTGCCCCTGCTTCAGGGGGCTACATCCCAGCTACTCGGCCTTCCCAGGCCTCACATGCCCTCAGTCCTAGCCCTACTCTTCCTCAGGGCCAGCGGCAGACCCTACTCTTCAGTGCCACCATGCCTAAGAAGATTCAGAACTTTGCCAAGAGTGCCCTGGTAAAGCCAGTCACGATCAACGTGGGCCGCGCTGGGGCCGCCAGCCTGGATGTCATCCAGGTGGGCAGGCACTCCTGATGAGCAGGGTCTCACTTGTGAGGATTGGATCTGGCCACGTTGAAGCTCTTGGAGTAGGGTTGAGGGGCCACCTTGTGGGCACTGGGGGTTTCATTCAAATCCCCAGCCCTTAGCAGGAAACATTCTTAGGGCAGCCAGTGCTTTATGGCAAGAGGCTTCTGGTTTCCTCCCAGCCAGGATTGGGGGCCCAGGCTCTGTGGCAGGGCCAGGGCTGGTGAGCCCATTTGCAAGCCCACCTGACCTGGCCCCTGTGATGGCAGGAGGTGGAATATGTCAAGGAGGAGGCCAAGATGGTATACCTGCTTGAGTGCCTACAGAAAACACCCCCACCCGTAAGTGCAGCCCACCAGGCTGGCTGAGGACCCCTGGAATGAAGGGGAGGGGGGAGTGGGGGCAGCATGCTGGAGAAGGTCGGGCACGCCCGGTTGGGGTCAGCCCCCATGACTGAAGTTGGCTTTCCTGGACAGGTGCTCATCTTTGCGGAGAAGAAGGCAGATGTGGATGCCATCCACGAGTACCTGCTGCTCAAGGGGGTCGAGGCGGTGGCCATCCATGGGGGCAAAGGTCAGGGGGTAGTGCACATGTAGGCATGGATTTTGCTGCCATTGCTGCCCTCACCTAATCCCTCTCCCTGCCTAGTAGGCCCGCCACTACTCCCCAGACTCCTGTCACTCTAACAGCTCCTGCCTAACCCTCCCCAGACCAGGAGGAACGGACCAAGGCCATCGAGGCATTCCGGGAGGGCAAGAAGGATGTCCTGGTGGCCACAGACGTAGCCTCCAAGGGCCTGGACTTCCCTGCCATCCAGCATGTCATAAATTATGACATGCCTGAGGAGAT